CCATCCGTCCCATTCTGGCGTCGCCTATTCAAGTTCGAACTTTTCCAGGATTATTTAGATCACTTTTACAGTCCGCGTGTGTTGGAATTTTTTTTTATTTTATTTAAAATTATAAATAAATAAAATAAATAAATAAATTCTTTTAAAACAGAAAAAACATTTTTAAAAAAAAATCCGTTGAGATTTTTAATAAAAAGCTTCGTTATTATATTTTGGGTAAGCATTTTTTTTACATATATTTTTTTATTTTTATTTATTTATTAATGTTTTTATTAATATCAAAATGTTTTATTCAATTTATTATCATTATTATTAATTAATTACTTAAATAAAATAATAATTAATTAATCTCACGCGTGAATAATAAATAAATCATTTGAAAAAAAAAAAAACGCCGACGAAAATAAAATAAAAAAAAAAATTTTTTTGTTGTTTAACGAATTCACCGCCTTCTTTATTATATGGAATCGTCGAAAAAAGGGGGGAGTCGGATAAAAAAATTAAAATAATACGAACGAATTATTATTATTATTGTTTTTTTTTTAACGGTTTTTTACAGGCATCCCCGTACAATTTTATTAAATATTATTTATATACTCGGGGGGCGAAGGGAGGGAGCGATGGAGGGAAAATATTTTCGTCTTATCAAATAAATTGTTTGATAAAAGAAAAAAAAAAAGTAAATGAAAACAATTTAGATAATTTGCCTAGCGTTAGATGTCTCAATTAAAAAAAAAAAAAATGTTTTCTTTTTTTTTTTTTTTTTTTGTTTTCAAACATTATTTAATTTTTATTTCCCCATAGTTTGAAAATGGCGCCCAAGGGCAATGCTATAAATGTAATGAACTTGCTTGTCTTCTAACTTGTTTGAAAGAGAGAACGAAAATTTAAAAAAAAAAAATTAATTTAATATTTGATGATTTGTTTCGAACGGTTTTTTTTTTATTTGTTTTTTTCGTTTTGATTTTTTTTTTTTTTTTTTTTTTACAGCAACAACAGATTTCGTAGCCATTTTTCTTTTTTTTTTTCTTTTCTATTTAGTTTCGATGCGGGTTTTTATTTTTACACACAAATGTCGCCCCGTTTAAAAACAAACAAAATGGACGCTTTCGAGTTCCTTTTTTTTTTGTTTAAATTTTAAACATGTATAATTTTATAAAAGTCGAAACGATTAAATAATTTAAATTTATTTATTTATATATATATATACTTTCAATTTTATTATTATTATTATTATTATTACAAGTGGAAATTTGCCAAACTCGAAATGTTAAATGACTCGTAGCAAAAAAAAACGAAAACGCCATTTGCAAACCTGACACGATTGTTAAAAAAAAAAAAATTTTTTCTTATACGTATGTCTATATATAAACGCTTAAATATATATTTTTTTAAAGGGGATTTATTTAGCTTTGTCGTGGCATTAGAGTTTTTTTTTTAAAGAAAGAAAAATTTCCGATGCGTTGAGAAAAAAAACGCGCGAAGGTTTTTTTTATAATTTTTTTTTTGGTTGTTTATGCGCGAAACGATCACAAAGTGCAGAGGACGACGTTTTTGTGACGTTTACGCGGTATAATTATAAGTAATAAAACGTAACTTCCGGTTTGTAAATTATTAGTTTTAACGGTCGAAACGGTTTATTATTTTTTATTATCCCGTTTTGAACGCGGTTGTCTATCTCTCTATCATTTTTTAAGGAGGCTAGAAAAATTATCTTATTTTTTTTGTACGAAACAAACGAACAAACAAACAAACAAGTAAAAAAAAAGGAAAAGAAGGTAAATTGTGAAGACAAAAACTTGTAAAAAGAATAATAGGTTTTTTTTTTTTCGAGAAAAAAAAAAGTAACGGACATTTTTGAAAGGTGGCAAGGACAGCTGCAAGGTAGGGTCAGGGTGATGCTATAGCAGTGGCATAACCAGGGTAAAAAAAATATAAAAATGTCGGTTCAAGGTCGAACCCTCTTTTGTGAGCTACGACCCTTCGTAATCGTGCTTTTTTTTTGGGGTGAGAAAAAATTTAAGAAGCATTCAAACTCAGTTAGGGTAGGCCAGGGTTTTTGTATTGTCTCTCTCTCTCTCTCTCTCTGTCTCCCTCTCCACTCCGGCGGCTCTCTTCTTCTTCCCTTACACTTCTACTTTTCCCTCTTTTTTTTTCAACCCTCCCTTTCTTCTGCCACGCTTCCCTTTGCTTTGCGTAGGGGATTTTTGAAGTTTTTTTTTTTTTTTCGCTTTTCGTCATCGTATCTTTTTGTCTCTCTCTCTCTCTCACACGCACGCACTCACGCAACGTACAATTCTCGTCTTTCAGCATTTTAATCGAGTTTTCGCATAAGTTGGCATCTCTGCCTTTCGCCCCCCCGAGGGGAAAACACGAATGGGGTTTGAGAGTCTTGCTTGCCTGCTTGCTATCAAATATATACGTATTTTTCTTCTGTTTTTTTTTTTTTTTTTTTTTTGGAAGGGATGATTTGTCGGAGTTTGTGTGGGTCAGTATTGATTTTAACTTGTTTTTATCGGTTGCATTTTTCAAGAGTTAGTTTGTCTGCGTAATAAATTAATCCGACATTTTGATTTTGTATCGTTAACGTGTACGTTCGCCATAGAAAATTATTGTTGTAAATTTTATTTTTTATTTTCTTTCTTTTGTTTGTTTTTAGTGTTTGAAATAGAAAAAGTTATGTTTTGGAATGTTATTTCCGGTTGTACGTAATTCGATCCGCGCCAATTTTATTATTATTTTTTTTTCTTATACTTAATCGACGACTGCATCTGTTTAAACTGGAAACGCGCATTTTCCGATACATCTTCGATTTTTTTCTTTTCGTCTCAGTTGTCGATACAAACAACCCCAGAAAAAAAACTCGACGCGTGGGGTTGGCAAATAAGTTTTTTGCCTACTAATATTTAATTGTTATTATTATTTTATTTTTTCAGTGGTACATAAACGGAGAAGATGATGACGCCACGAAACGGAACGGGTAGGGGAAGGAGGAACGTCGTGAAAAAGCATCGAAATTTCATTAATTATTAATTTATTGATTGATTAATAATTATTTATAAAATCGTAAGTGCCAAAAGATTAAGATTACGTTTCCGGGAGCCCCCTTTAAAATTTTTCCAGGATTCGTAAGTTCCTAAGGGTTCACTTCGGCGGGATAATTAATAATAAGCATTAAAAAAACACATTTTATAATTACCATTATTTTTCGATTCGTTGCATAGAACATCGCATAAAAATCGATGGAGAGACGGGGGGAGGAGAGGGGAGTGAGGAGGGAAAAGAAGAAAAAAATTCATTACCATTCCTTGACTTTTCTGGAAGAATTTAAGTTATAGGGAAACCGCTACACGTGATAGAATGACCAGGTAGGCCAGAGAGGAGGGGACGGCCGGCCGGTCGACCGGTTGGTCGGTCGGTCGGGGGGGGGGCAATGAGAGAAGAGGAGAAACGAAAGAGGGGGAGAAGGTTAAAAGTTTAGTGCAGATTCGAGGCGAAGACCAGGTACGACGTGATGGAAAAATATTTAAAAATAAAAAACAAAAAAATTATAAGAAGATTTATAATAGAAATGCAAAACGAAACGGAATCAAGGTTTTCTTACGTTTTGCAATTTTTTTTTTTTTTTTAAATCTCGAAGGGAAATTTTTTTATTAAAAAACGAGTTTCACCGACGTTGAGATTACGAGAACCTGGACTTTTATTTTTTGTTTTTTGAATATATATATGCGTGCGTGCGTGCATGTGTGTGTGTGTGTGTGTGTGTGTGTGTGTGCGTATAGCGCGTGTACAAACTTGTATGTGTTTATATATATAAAAAATACTTGATTTAATCGTGAGGGACCGGGGAGCCACGCTCAAAGCAAGTTTTTACATACATATGAAGAAGATGAGGTAGGAGAAGAAGAAGGTTCTTGGAGAATGCGATGGGAGGTTCTTCGAGGGGCTTCTTGTTTCAAGGACGACGGCAAATCTTTACAAGTAATGTGGATGTTAATTGAATGCTTTGGAAGAATTTTTTTTTTCTCTCTCTCTCTCTCTTGTTCAGGAGTCGGCGGCCATCGGTTATCCATCCACCATCGAATTTCTCGAGGTAATTTTTTGTGTTGTGTTCAGTCAGACATACTTTAAAAATTTGTCTGATTTTCCTCCTCCACTTTTTTATTCTTTTCCTTCCTTTTTTTTTTAAACAAATAATTATTACCACGGAGCATAGCAGGAGAGAGAGGGGCGGGGGAAAATAGCAACAACCCGATTTTGTTGGAATGAGACCGACGACGGTTTTTTTTCTTTCAAATTGGAGGACACAAGTTTGTGTCACCGTTTAAAGTTCTTTGTACCTATGACGTCAAAAAAAAATGTCGTTATTTAATAACTAACTGTGTAATTATTATTAATTTTTGTTTCTTTTTTTTTTTGTTGTTTTTTTAGTAAGGAAAAAAAAAACTTATCGAAATTGTCTATTTGTAATCGTGATTAGTCGGTTTTTTTTTTTTATCAAGGACGAATGCAGACACAATTGCAACCATTATAAATTTCAACATTTACACCTTCGAGAAACAAAAAAAAGAGAGAGAGAGAAAAACATGAGTCATTTGTTCGTTTGTCAGAGAACTTTAACTACTACCGGGTTATTGTACCACAAGAAGGCTAAATATCAACACAATGAACAAAAAATCATCAGAGTGTAAGAGAGAGAAAGAGAGAGAGAGAGAGAGACGGTAATAATTGTACGTTTCCAAATTCGTGAAAAAAACAAAAAGAGTCTTAATAATATATCTCTCTTACGCGAAATTACTATTATTATTATTATTATTATCATTACGATTTCCCTACTCCAAACGCAATTTAATTTTTTAATGTGACGTTGGAGTGTAAATGACCAACCGAAGAGAAGAGAAAAAGCATTCAAGCACGCGGCGGAGCAATACTCAGAAAGAAGAAGACGCAAAGAGAAGAAGAAGAAGAAGTAGAAGAAGTGGAAGAAGAAAAAAGGGCGTATCGAGATGTGGTAACTCCACCACCGTTGGCTGTTTTTATTTATTTCTGCCAACGGTGTATGAGTTCCTCGATTTCGTAACGTTTTCGTCTGGAACGTCGTCTTCGTCCTCGTCCTCGTCGTCGTCTGCTTATATCCAGTCGTTAGAAATTATTATTATTATTATTGTTATTATAATTTAATGTTTGTTTTTTTTTTTTTTTGTAAATAAATAAAACGATTTATTTTAATAAAAATTTATTTATTTATTTATTTTGTTTACATTTTCCATTACAAACAAAAAAAATTCTAAATGCACGTTTTTTTTCTCCCTTTTGTACTCGTTTTTCTTCTTCTTCTTCTTCTTCTTTATCGTTAATCTTCATCCAATTTTCTTTTTTTATTACTAAGTGATGGTACGCTAAAATTTGGAATCTGACAACAGAAAAAAAAATTAATAAAACACTGTTGTGAAATATAATTACGCAAGTAAACAAACAATTCTTTCTAAAAAAAAATTTCTTTAATGAACGAACAAACGAATGATGATGATGATGATAATAATAAAACAAAACACGAAAATTAGAATGGAGAAAAACAAAAAAGACAGGAAGGGGGGGCGGGGAGGATATGTTTTTGTTGTTGCGGTGATCCATCATTTGAGCCGGTCAGAATTTTAATTTTAAAAAAGACTCGACGAAAAATCATTAAAAAACGTGACAGCAGAAGACGCAAAACGAAAGAGTAATAACGCGATGGATAAAAATTCAAAATTTATTTGGATTTCCAGTCGTTTAAAAGTGACTGGAATCAATCAGCAGGTAACCTCCCTGGAATTTTTGGTGGCGGGTAATTTAAATCCATTGCAGCAGAAGTTTCTTTATCTCATCCATTCCGTGCAAAAACCGTGGTTGCGCGCACACCCATACCCCACTCAAATCCTCGCGAAAAAATAAGAAACCGATTATGGGAAAAATTCAAAAAGGTAAATCATCCGATTTTTTTTTTATCCGTTTAAATTTCAAAGATGGCGCTCGACAACGACAAAAAAAAAACAACCGAAAATTTATTCACTATAAATAAAATGGGGTATATATAAACCTGAAAATTCAGGTTTTTATCCACGAAAAAAAAATTTTATGCGTCGAGTTTAATAATTTTTATGTCGATAACTCGACGATAAATTTTTATATATATATAAAAAAAAAAGACATTCAAATAAATCTACCATCGAATTGAAATCGATCTACCTTTTCCTTCCCCTTCCTCTTCCCCCTTTTCCCCTCCCCACCACATTTTCCAGTAATCGAACGTATAGTGTGGTTTGTACCTTGTTCAGTAAAACGCGGCAAATGTTTTTTGGAAAGAAAAACAATAACCTTAACAATTTACGTACCTTAGGATTTACCAACCGGAAAAATAATTTTTCACGTTGAACGTTACTTCTATCCAATGATAATTGAACGGTTACCGGATCGAACGCTTTGAAAATGACGTCACCGCACCTTTGAGTTTGTGTCTGAAAATGAAAAATTCATTTGAACCTTTTTTTCCCCTCCATTTTAAGTTTTACGGCGTTTCTTTGCATTTCTCTCTCTCTCTCTCTCACCTCGTCGTTGTAAACGAAACCTATGACGTCCAATTCTTTTTTCCCACTCACGTACAGGGTACCCTCCAAACCGTATTTCGGTATCAAAATCTGCAGAGCGTTTTTCCTGACCCTCAAAATGTAACCTTCTTCGTCTTGAACTTTATCGCGAAAGAAAAGCTGAAAGGAAAAAGACACAAATACGTGAATGTTCAAACGAACGTCTTTTTTTTTTCACCTTCCAGCCGTTCGTTGGTCGAGGTATGAGCCGAAACAAAATGGCGGAAGGCATACGTCGAAAAGTTAAAAAAAAATTTACGTGAGTGTGAAGCGCGACAGAAGCTCTGGCCGCGTATTGAGCCATTTGATTCCTATAATTCAAATTATTACACAATTCTTGCGTTTTTCTCTTGTCTAAAAGTTCAGGATACGTTGAATCCGCATTCACCGAAACTGCCAACAATCGATGAACAATTATATCCGCGTACCTGAAATCAATTTATTTTCAAAGGAAGGTGAAAAAAAAAAAAAAAAAGAAGAAAACGAGCAACAAAATAAATTTGCAACAAATCAATCGAACCTCCTTATCGGCGACGTAAAATGAGTGTATATCGGACAAGCTAAACCATAGTGAAAGAAGTCTTCTTCTTTGAACATTCCGGATGAAAAATAAACGGCTTGCATCATACATCTTGTCGCGAGGATTTTTAACATTGTGTTAAAATAAGGATTGTTAGGTTTGACTGCTTTTTCCAAACTCACCGACAGGCTTTTCCCCGTGTCCACGGATATGTCGAAATTCTGAAAAATAAATAAATAAATAAAATTTTTTTTTAAACGAACGACAACCGGAAAATCGTATAAAAAAGAAAAAGACATACCTGAACGCGACCGGCTTTTATCAGAGGTTCAAAATTAGACAGCGGAGGTTTCGGATGTCTCCTAAGAACGGCACATTCCGGAAAATCTTTAAAAATTTTCTCAGCAACGGAAATATTTGCCAAAAGCATGAATTCTTCAATCATCGAATTCGTGTCGCGAATTTTTTTTGCTTCCACGTCCAAGGGATCGTGAGTTTCGCTGTCCATGAGAAATTTAACTTCGGGAGATGCCAAAACCAAAGCTCTTGAAAACAAAAAAAAGAAACCCAAAAGGAACGTTAATAATAAATCCGTAGGAAAGGTTTTTGAAATTTCATAAGGCACGCGCAAGTACCCGTTGTCCAGCCTTTTTTTCTTAATTATTTTCGCCAAATTGTTTAACCATCTGAGAGATTGAGTAACGTTATCATTTTGTTTCTTATCATCTATTTTCAATTGAGCTTCTTCGTACGTCATCGCTTTCCTCGACCGAATGACGCTCTTGTGAAATTTCGTGTTGAGAATTTTGCCTTTTTTTGTCATTTCGACGATGCACGAAAATGCAAAACGATCTTCGTTTTCCCGAAGCGAACACAAATTCGAACTCAGCAATTCTGCAAAATCGAAAAAAAAAAAAAAAAAAAAAAGAAATTATTAATTACGAATTCCATTAAATAATCGTATGAAAGAAATAATTTCTAGAACATTTTAGATATCACGACATCTTTTTTCCTCTTCTACCAATTTCTTTCTTTCCTTTTACTTTGCACTTTATTCATTCATTCATTCATTCATTTCTATTAGAAAAAGATAATTTTTTAATTAAATGAGAAAACATTTTTACGTGCTAATTACTCTCTCTCTCTCTCTTTCTACTTCCTTTTTTATAAGAGTATTCATTATGCTTTTTAATATGTAATCATTTGACGACACGTTTATTACAATAATTATCTTCTTTCCGTATAAAGGAAAAGTCCAGGAGGTTTTCCTCTTGGGTTTTAAGGTACCGACCGACCTGGAACCATGTCGATCCTTTTATCAACGAGATAAACGGTTGTTCCTCTTAGAGCGGCTTCTTTATCGAGTGCCGTTCCAGGTTTTATGAAATGCGTTACATCCGCAATGTGAATGCCAACTTCGAAATTTCCATTGTCCAATTTCCGACAGTGCAAGGCGTCATCGATATCCGTACATCCAGGAGGGTCGACAGAACAAATATCTAAATGACGTAAATCCACGCGGTTTTTCAAATCCTACACAAAAAAAAAAACAAACAAATTTTTCCTAAGAATTTTGGCGGGAAAATTCATTAATTTAAATTAATAATTCATCCGTTTGGACGAAAAAAATTACAAATATTAATATTATTATTATTTTACGACTCGTTAAAAATCACATTATAATTACTCATAAAGTTTTGATTTTTTTTCCCCCCTGTCATTTTATTACGCGGGGAGGGGAGGGGTAGGGAGTAATTTTTTCAGTAGCAGCAGAAAATAAAATTTCTCTCGTGTAATTAAACATAAATATACATAATGGCATCCTAAACAAAAAACACGAAGAAAAATTTTTTAATACTTTTTTTTTTTTTTTTTTTTTTTTTTGACGTGACATGGGTTTTAAATTGAGTGAGTGATTTTTCGGTTGAAAAAGAAAACATCGAGATACATACACACACACGCACACGCACACGCACATTTAATTAATATAAACTATTTTTTTTAAAAAAAATATATATACATCAACAGGTAAATAAATAAATAAATAAAATTCCGCAAACAAATTAACCGGCAAATTTATAACGAAAATTCAATCAATCATTTAAAAACTATTAAAAAAAAAAAAAAAAAAAAAACGACATACGAACAAACACGCAACACAAACGTGTACGTTTAATAATAATAATAATATTAATAATAATAGTTCGTGTACGTAAAAATAAAGAAGAAAATGATAATGAATGCTTAGGGGGATTAAAAAATATGGACAAAAAAAAAGAAATAAAAAAATATAGTGATTCGCTACATTTTATGGACAAAATTTTAAACAAGTTCAAAATGGGAAAACAACATTTTGAAGAGAAAAACACATCGAGTGGAAATACAAGTTCCAATTCGAATGCCAGCGAACACTCCGGCGTAAGTGGTAGTAGTGGTGGTGGTGGTGGTGGTGGTAGTAGCAGTAGTAGCGGAGTGATAGCTAGTGGAAGTGCCGCAGGAGGTGCAAGTGTAAGTGGAAATGCAAATTCGAAAAAATTAAAAATGAACGGATCATCAACGATTGTTGTCAAAGAAACTCCCAAACCTTTGATAAATTGGGAAAAAGATAAAATAACGCCGGAAAATCTCATGGAGTTTAGCGAAGAATTGCAACAATTATTGGAATACGTTAATTCTCTTCAAGATGTCAATTTTTACGCCGACAAATATTCGGAGTGAGTGATTTCCTTCCCTTACTTAAAACTCTCTAAATTTCATCAAATCCCTTATAAAAGTCCTCCCATTATTTTAAGATTTTGCTAATTTTAAGATTTTGCTATCCACCATTATGCAGATTTAATATTTTTTTGCTTCCTTCAGAATCAAAATCTTACATTGAAAAAAAAAAATTATGATTGCAGGTCTTTGCAAAAAAAACTAGAGAAAGAAGCTTTGGAACTTGGTAATTTATTTAGAGAAATTCGTACCACGGCAAACGATTTGGAAAGGCTTCAAAATCAAAGGAATATAATAAAAAAAGAAAAATGTCAGGCCATGAAAAAATTAGACAAACTTAGAGAAGATGGTATTGTTTTACAATATATGGAGTACAGTTAAAATTTTCTTACTGTTTTTGTAATTTTACCATTTTTTTTTTCCCCCCCCCATTTTAGAAATGAAAGAGTTGGAATCGATTGTTTGCGTTTATGCAAAGCCTCTGCATTCGAAATGGGAAGCAATTAAAAATACTCAAAAAGTCGACGTCGTAGAAAATTTTATCAACGAAATAGTTGTAAGCGTTTAAGAAAATCAATAAAAGCCATTTTCTCGTGCGTCTCAGTTCATTTTATTTCATTTTTTAAAATTTTAATTTTAGAGCAAACATCGAGCCATTGACATCCTTCAAGAATTGGCCACAAGGAAATTGGCAAAAATATCAAAGAAAACATTACCGAGTCCATTCACGTTAAAAAAAAATATATCATCTTCGAACATGACGTATAAAATAAAAAATCAAGAGAAACCCTCTTGGAGCATAACGCCTTTTTTAGATGTAAATAAAGTCGGTACGGGAATCGAAAAAGTCGTCATGAGAGGAACAACCGACAGAGACATGTCGAGAATAAATAGGAGAAAACGACAGAAAGAAATAAGAGAAGAAAAACGAAGGCAAAATTCATCGGATTTTAATAACAACACGAGTTGTAGCACAAACACCGACAACAACGGAAGTCTCGACCTTCAATTGGTACCCATTAATAATTTCCCTATAGAAGAAATTGATGACGTCGTTAAAACGGGAACCGTGGCAAGACCCATGCCCGCGAGAACATCACCGGTAATTAACATAGAATATGCATCTGACGATGATTCTGTGAGCTTGACCAGCAGTGAATTTACGATTGAAAATTTCGTACAGGGAGGCAATGCTGAAATTCAATCGGAATTACAACACGAAATGAGAAACGTTCTCCAAGCGTTATTTGGAGAAATAAGACAACTTCCGGAAATAGGAAATTTTTCAACGAGGCAAACAACGAATCAAAGGCAAAACAACAGCGGAAACGATTTGAGATCGACGAGAACGCCCAGTCATTGAATATATCTCTTACGATAAAAAAGTAAAACCAACAAAATTATTGACCGGTATTAGAGACTAAGTTGATTGATATTTTTTTACTTTATCCTTTTCAAAAAAAAAAAAAAAAAAAATTACTCAAACTTTAATATTTAATTGAAACCTGTTCATAATTTCAATAAATTATGATTCATTCAAAAAACATTTTATGAAAATGAGTTGAAATATAGTTTTATTTGATGGGGAGGGGAGGGGGAGGGGAATGTCTTTACGAAAATTTTTAAAAAAATTATAAACCGACTTACGTCTTCGGTAATTATCCATGGTAATTCTGGTAGAAAACTTAAAACAGCTTCGGAAAATTTACTGTGTGGTACATCGTGTTCCAACAGTAAAACTTCGTTTTCTGTTTCCTTATCTCCGATCGGACCTATCGCTCGAACAAAGTGACCCTGAAATTTTTTTTTCTACTTTAATAAAATAATAAATAAATAATGTAAAATATATATTATAATATATTAATTAATTTGATTATAACTTTAATTTATTTATTTACCAATGGATATTTTGAATGACGTGGCCAAGAATCTATAACGACAACAATTTTTTGACTCATTAAAAATTCCGATTGTTTCGTTATTATTCGAACTTTTGGAATTTTACGCTCTGCCGGTACGAAAATATGCCTGGTTGCCTAAAAAAAAAAGAAAATATTTACGATAAAATAATGCCCGCATAAACCTCGATAAATAAATAAATAAAGCATACATTTTCGAGTAAGCTTTTATTTAATATTCCACAGTATTGACGCCATTTTCTTTTTATGATTCCTACGATTATTCCTGTTGGTTTTTTATCACCCTTTTCATTTCCCGCGTCTTTAATTATATCTTCGTCTACGTTAATCATTTCAACATCTTCCTCTTCGTCTTCATCTTTTAAAACTAAATCACTTGATCCTACCCATTGGCTTTCTGGTAAAAGTTTTACTGCAACTGTATCTCCGTCGACGGCTCGGTTAAGAGCTTTTCTACCTTGAACCAAAACCTAAAAAATTTATTTAATATTAACAATAAATTATAGAAATAATATTTGATGCAGATTTTAAAGAATATTTAATGAAATATATTTTAGAATTTTTTTTCAATGTAATACATACTGACAACTCTTGCCCTTCAACTCTAACAGTGCCTTCTAAAAAATTATCTCTCTGTGCAAAAAATTGGCCATAAAGTAGGGATTTATTTTTGATTCCTTGATGTATTTCATTTGGAGTGTAATGGCAGGGATACAATGGTTCCCCTGCATTTTCTTTTTCACAATCTTTTTGACACAATTTATCGGCTAATGGAATACTTGTATTTAAACTCAATACATATTCTTCGGCTACAAAATAGAAATAAGTTTAAATTGGATGTAAAGAATAATTTTTTTTTTATTAGAATTCATTATTACTTACATGAAAAAGCAGGAATTCCTTCTGCTATGGCTTTTTCTTTATTTTCAACATCATCTGTTATTAAAACAATTTTAACAGCATTGTTAAGATGATTAGAGTACCATTTAGTAGCCACTCTGATTGCTCTTTGATTTCTTTCATTTATTTTCTCTCCTTGTTCTCTCGCAATATATGTTTCTCTAAAAAACATAATATTCAATTAAAATGTCGAAAGTTTTAATAAAATATAATTTATTTAAAACTTACTTGTGATTTTCATTAACAAAAACACAAAAATGCCTACTAGGATTGGCTATTATATCTTTTAACTTCATGTAAAAAACTGTATTTTTATTTTGGAGATCATTTATAACTGTTTGTAGTATAATTGCATTACATATAACATTTTCTTGTAAAACATCTATCTGAAATGATTACAACTTGAATAATATTAATAATAAATTTCAAAAAGGAATTAATCGAAAGCAGTACTTACCTGATCAATAATAACACTTGAATCTAACACAACATAATGACTTTCTTTAATTAATGAACTGAGAGATTCTGTAGATTTCTCCAGAACTTTATCCTTAGGTTTTTGTTTGCATTTGCCACATAATGTAGAACCACACCAAAGGTCATCTCTCAAATAATGCTCTCGCACAACCTGAATATAAAAAAAATTAGATAAAAATTATTAAAAGAATAAGAGAGAGAAAAAAAAAATGAATTCATTAATAAAACTACATAAAAAAATGAACTTGATGTTAAGGTGAGGTTATGTTTTATGTAATAACCTATCACGCTTACCTTTAATATACTTCCCCTTTTGGTTTTTTTTAATATGATATGATTTGTCAACATTGTAATTAAATATTTTTAAAATCATTCGTAAATATATACTTAAAACTTAATAGGTACTCGTTTAAAAACTATTGCGGTACAAAAAAAAAGCCCTCGGCGGTGAGAAATCTGATGGATTACTTTATTAATGTAGAAATCAATTAAGAAAATCTCACGTGATTTCAATAGAAATAACATTAAGTAATAGGTTCTAAATTAAAAAAACCAAAAACGTTATAAATTCCATTAATAATTTTTACTTGATTACTTTTTAACATGGGTAAATTACAAACAGTAGCATTACTTACTACTTTTCTACGAAAGTTTTTTTCTCACCACTTGTATGTAATATCTACTTTGGCGAGGAAATTAAATATTTCAGTGATCGAAATTAGATATAATTATTTTAAAATTCAAGTTATATATAAAATTTAAAGTAAATGATTAATTTTATTTAGAAAATTTAATTTCAATAATAAAAATATAAAATAAAATAGGAGCAAAGTGGCGTTTAATAAAACAAGTTAACTTCCGGTAAAATATAACGTCAATTTTTTGAGTTTAAATTCTCTCTGGAGAATTTTGTAACATCCGCTGTATGCTAAAGTTTATTATAACAGGTAAATGACGCAAAAAAAGAAAATAAACAGCTTTTAGCTGAAATAGTTTCCGGTATGGAATAAAAACTTATTTGTCAAAAGTAAGTTATTATTTATTATTTATTTATAATTCATTATTAATTACATTTAATTATTCAAAGGTGCGAGTTATAAAAACGCCGTTTGGCCAGTTATTGATTAAATTTGTTTCAGGCTAATTCGTTTCCATTTATATTACTAATTTTTTTTTTTTTTTTACTATCTTTTTTTATTATTTATTATAAATAAATAAAATCTGCATTTTAAATTTACATTCTTTAAACAAACTTCAATGATATTTTAATTTGTTTTATTTTGCTTCTTATATTATTTTAATATAATTACATAATTATATGAATTAATTTAAAATTTTTTTTTAAATGGCATGTACACTAGTCATTTTGTTTGACTTACATGTTTTTTTTTTTTTTTTCTGAATATAAAAAACTTTATTTTATTAATTTTAGATAAATCATTCATCATGGTTCAAAAAGGCTCAATTTGGTATTTACTTCACTATCATATAATTCCTCCAGTTTTTATTGTTTTTTTTATAATAATTGCCCAGTACTTAGCGATTGTTGGACAGGGCCAAACATTTACATGGGAATTGGCCTTGAGTAATTATCTAGGGGATGCAACTTCGTGGAAATGGACTTCATTATTTGTATTATGGTCCATTATCTGGCTTAAAGTTCCTTCTAAAATTGTACAAGGCCCAGAATCTCATTTCGGTGCCATTCCAAATTACAAAGTAAGTCATAGTAAAATAATTTTAACCTAAAAAAAAAAAACAAAAAAATTCATTGATTTTTGTTATTTTAAACAGACAAATGGAGTTCAATATTATTGGGCCACACTAGTCACCTTTTTTTTTTTACAAGCACTTTATCCAAATACATCTAGAACAATATACATGCATTTTCCGAAAATAATTGGAGTTTTTAATGCCTATGCATTAATATTGTGCATTTGGCTTTTGATTAAGGTATGATTTTCTATTTATTTTTATTCTTTTCACATCACATCCTTCCTAATTATGTAATACAATACTTTTTTTCGTTATGCATTAATTAGGGAAGACTCAAGCCGGAATGTCCAGAAGATCCTGAAGAACGTAAATCATTAATATTTGACTTTTATAAAGGAGTAGAATTACATCCTCACATTTTCGGTGAAGATGTCAAACAGTTAACAAATTGTAGGATAGGAATGATGGGTTGGGAAGTTATTCTTTGTGCATTTTACATGACAGGGGTAGAACAACATGGTTTTATTACTTCTTCATTAGTACATTTGCTTCTTCAGGTCTGCATTATAAATTTTTTTTTTTTTTTTTTTTTTAACTAACTAGTATTATATTTATCTTGTGTTTCTCTCTTTTAGTCTGTTTACATTGCCAAATTTTTTTGGTGGGAAGTCGGATACTTTCACACATTAGATATGATGATGGACAGAGCTGGATTTTATTTGTGTTGGGGAACTCTTGTCCTTATTCCCTCTTTATTCACATTTTCAGCTGCCTACACTGTTCTTCATCCTCCAACAATATCTGCATGGATCTCAATATTAATAGGTATTATTGGATTAGTCTGCATACTTCTTACTTACAGAGTAAGTTTCTCGTACAATCACTTTTTGCTTCTTCCCCTCCCCCCTCCCATGTTTAATCTTGTAAACATAATTATTGTTTTTTTTTCCGCAGGTGGATTATGAAAAACAAATATTTAGGGCATCGCCTAATTACGAATGTAACATTTGGGGGAAAACTGCAACTTACATACCTGCTGAATTTAAAGATTCAACTGGTAAAATAAGAAAATCCGCTCTTTTAACGAGCGGTTTTTGGGGAATCGGAAGACATATTAATTACACATTCGAATTGGGTACTTCGGCTGCATTCGGAGCATGTTTAGGTTTCGATTTCGGAATATGGAATTTCCTTTATTTTTTTTTCATATTAATATTAGTTTTTCACAGACTGTATCGTGACGAGGAAAAATGTAAAAATAAATATGGAAGATTTTGGGAAAAATATTGCAAAGAAGTGCCCTACGTAATGATACCCGGGTTGTGGTAACCTTCACATCTAATCAACTGATTTTCATTCGTTTGTAACAAACAAACAAACAAACAAATATAACAACAACAACAAGCCGATTAAACAAATTGTAAAATTTAATTTTTTATGTTTAAAAAAACATGATATAAAGTACTTGATACCGATAAAAAGTTTTTGTTTATTTTTTTAACGGTCACAAAAAATAAATAAATAAAGTACGAATAATTATAGTTGCTCAATAACAAACAAACAAACAAATATTTAACTTATTGGTAAAAAAAAAAAAAAAAGTTTATATGCATACATATACATTCAATAAAAATTATTTATGTATTTGAATAAAAAAAAAATTGATGATAATAATAATAATTAATTTTATTTATTCTCATATATTAAATATTATTTGAAAAAAAAAAAAATTATTAATATATGTATAAATAAATACTTACCTTAAAATAATAATAATAATTTGTTTGATTTTTTAAATTCATAATCGATTTAAATTTTTTGTCTGAAATTAAATTAAATTAAATTAACGACTAGAAGTATTTATTAATTATTAATTTAATAAACAATTTATGACGTAATGACGTAAATAAATGTATACACTTGATACCAAAAAAAAAAAAAAAAAATTATTAATTAATAATTTATTTATACATATATATTCGGGTTGTTTTAATTTTAAATAAATAAATAAATATCTATGGATGCCAATATTTTTTGTAACTTATACGTTTTAACTATAATGTAATAATAATAATAATAATGATAATAATAATTAGTTTGCTTTTCTTTTTCTCTCTCTCTGTCTCTTTCCGACCCCCTCTATCCACTCTCTCTCTCCACCAAATCTTATTCCTAGCTTGATATTATTATTATTAATTTTATTATTATTATTATTATTATAGATGCGTTTTAACGGTGACGAAATAATTATGATAAAGTTAATGAATTTCCCCCCGTAAAAAAAAATTTAATAATAATAATAATAATAATAATAATAATAATAATAGGTTGATAAAAATGCGAAAATGATAAACGTGGCAATAAATATTTAAATTTTTTGGAGGTTTAAAAAAATTATTTATGTATACATAATAAAAAAATAATTAATTAATAATTAGTATTAGTACAGCTTTTAGTTGCCAAGAGTGTCTTATATTAAGATTTACAAATACATTATTATTATTATTACTATTCATTATTTTTAATTTTTATCATTATTATTACTATTATAAATATTATTTGTAATGACAAACTACATTATAACGAATGATTTCTCGATTTGTAATAATTATAAATAATAATAATAATAATAATAATAAACGTGTAGCAAAAAAATATTGATGATAATAATAATAATAATTTAATTCACACACGATTGGAAATTTAATTTTCTTTTTAATTGATAAGAAATTTTTGTTTTATTTTTCTCCCTTTCATTTTTATCTTTTTCTAATTAATAATTTATTAATTAAAGAAAAACGTCACAAATTGTCAAAAGGTAATCAAATAATAATAATAATAATAATAATAATAATAATAAAAACATTTAACGAGATTAATTAGAAAATGTTCGCGTGCGTGCGTGGGTGGGTGGGTTTCGTTGATCGTATCCGTCGTTATATCAGGACAGTGTCAAGGTTTTCGGAAAAATATAATAATAATAATAATAATAATATTTTACAATAAATAAACAAATAAATAATAATAAAAAGATTTCGATGATATGAGTAGTTGTTGTTGTTGTTTATAAATCGTGGCTAGAGTACGAATTATAATAAAATGATTGCGTAATAAAAATTAAAAAAAAAAAAAACCTGGTTTGAGAAAAAAAATGTCGAAAGTTTTATTAACGATCGTGTGTGTGTGTGCGTGTGCGAGTGCGTGTGAGAGTGGATTTAAATTTTCTGATAACTTACTTGATATAATATAAATAAAAAAAAATTTTTTTTTTTGTCTTTTATGGCGACCGGTTGTTGTTTTAAATCTAAAAATAGTTAAATTACAAACTTAAATAGGAAAAACTTTAACTCTCGATTTATTTTTTTTTATACTCATCTTCATATCTCACGATAAAAATTGTATCAATTCAATGAATGAATGAATGAATGAATGAATACATTTGAATTTAATCGATCGATAAGTTTTCATTTAATTTTTTTTTAGTTTTTCCTCAAAAATACAAAAAATTTTTACCACGTGTTAATTAATAGGTAAACGAGTATCCGAACCTTGAAATCGACCGTAAAAAATACATAATGATAATGATAATGATAATGATAATAATAACTATTAATAATAATAATAATATAATTTTTTGTTCAAAGACGCATAAAAAAAACCTACAAAAAAAATTTTTTTTATTACCTTTTTACACACACATTCGAATCTCAATTTTATTAACAAAAAAACCTTTTGAAAAAATAAATCATCCCCATAAAAAAAAAGTAATAATAATAATAATAATAATAATAATCGGAAAATTAATATTTTGTGATAAAAATAAATGATGATAATTTTTTTTTTTACCTTGATCTAAATATAATAATGATTCCAAAGATTTTACATAGTCTCGTATTAATAATAAATAATAATAATTATTTAACACGTAATAAAATACAATAATATTAATTAGTATTATTATTATTACTTAAATCTATCGAATGATAATAATAATACTTAATAAAAATTTAAATTTATTAATAAAAACTCGACAATAAAACTCAATGATGATTTTTTTTATTTTATTTTTAAAACTTATTATTAATTTATTATTATTATTATTATTATTATTAGTATTAATTACGTGTTAAAACGTAAAAATAAATAAATAAATAAATTATGTATAATCGAACGATGACAAAAAATAAATAAATAAAGATATTAATGGGTTGTGGAGAAAGTTAAATAAAGTTTATGGATCTTCGGTTGTTCTTTTTTTATTTATTTAAATGATAATAATAATAATAATTATTAAAGCGGAAGAAATATGGATAGAGAGAAGAGAGGTGAGGGGGTGGTGGAGGGATTTTAATTAATTAAAATAAATTTAAAATAAATAATTGAAAAAATACAAGAAATACCGGAAAAAAAAAAATTTTTTTAAACAACTTTCCATTCTCGTCCTATCTACTATAAATAAATTGAAATTTTTTTAGAAAAACAAAACAAAACGAGGGGAGGAGGGGGGAGGGGAAAAGGTACCTAAAAATAAAAAAATTTTTTTGTTTTAAATTAAAAAAGAATCGAACCTAAAAAAAAAAAAGTCGTCGCAACTGCGCACCGAATGAATCTTCTACCATGCGTATAAGACAATACGTTGCGCCGGTTACACACCGACCGAAAAAAAAAGAAAAAAAAAAAAACTTCCCACTCTTACTAGTAGAGAAACACGCTTGAAAAACTATTATTATTATCATCATCATTATTATTATTATTTCTTTCAACTTGTTTTTTTTTCGTTAGTTTTTATCGGTCAAACAATAACGTTAAAACATTATCAAGGAATTACAACAAAACGTATTGTTATTATTTAATATTTTTAAAAAAATTTCACCGACAGCAGCAGCAGCAGGAGAAGTGTGATAAGACATGATAACAACAATTTTTTACCGTTTTTTAAATTTATAAAAAAAAAAATCGGTCAATTTATTATTATTATTACTTATTTATTTATTTATTATTTTCGGGGCTCTCGTGTTGTGTGTTGTGTGTCTGTGATGTTTCACATTAATATTTCGTAACGTTTTTTTTTATTTTGTTTGTTTGTTTACAAATAACAATAATAATAATAATAATAATATTAAGGTGGCGCGTTTAAAAATTTCTTCATTTCAAGGTATTCAGGTACGCACATGCGTTCTTTTTTGTTTTTGTTTTTTAAAAAAATAATTTTGTGTGATGTTTTTAAATTAATTTTTTTTTTTCTACGTCGAATTTATTATTATTATTATTATTATTATTATTATTATTATTGTTGTTGTTGTTGTTGTTGTTGTTGTTGTTTTTCGTATCGAATTTGTTATTGAGCTGGAAATTTGTGTTTTTTTTAACGTCCAAAATTTTATAAAAAAAAAAAAAATGGAAACGAGTAATGAAACGCCGGGAAAAATAATAATAAAAAAAATTATTAATAATTATTTATTTATTTATTTATTAAATACGTTAAATAATTATTAAAGAATTAATAAATACATAAATAATTTCGTGACGTGGATTAGAAAATGAAAAAAAAAAAAATTCATAAGAAATCCATCCGTCCGTAACGTAAAAATTTTGTGTTTTTTAAAATTTAAAAATATTTCCCTTTCGTTATTAATATTATTATTATTATTGTTTCGCGTGTGAAAAAAATTTAGGTGGAACGAACGCGAGTAAAAAACAAAAAATTTATAAATAAATAAATAAATTTTGTCTATTTTATTATATTTAAAAAATAAACGCGAAGGTTAAAACAATAAAAAAAATCATTCAGGTACACACACAAAAAAAAAACAAAAATAAAAAAAAATGTAGGTTGAAAATACATAATCGAAAAGGCAACACCGCAAAAAAACATGTTTTTTGTTTTTTTTTTTTTTTAGTAAGAAAAGGAGGGAAAAATCTTCTCCCCACGAGCCCGAAAAAAAAAAAAAAAAACAAAACAAACATTTCGTACCTGATTTTTTTTTTAGTTTTTTTTTGGTTTTTTGTGTGTGTCTCTGTGCGCGTTCTACTCACTCATTCATTTATAATACGTGTATAGTTTAGTAATTAAAAAAAAAAATGTTTTTTCTTCTGCTTCGACAACAACAACAACAACAAAACATAATTAAGATGTACACGCGGAGTATATAATAAAAATGGTGTCGATGTCAAGTATTAATAACGCAATACTAGCCAATGAAATTTTATTATTATTATTATTATATAATACTTTAAGGTATTTGGTTAATCAGGTACATTTTCAAATATTCCTCATCGATTTTTAAAAATTTAAATTCTCTCGGTTATTTTTTATTTTATTTTTTTTAAAACGAAATCTAAAATTATACCGCGTCCTCATACCTGATTTATTATTATTATTATCGTGATAGACAACCAAATTTTTTTTTTACTATGCGTGATGTGTTACTATTATTATTATTATTATTATTATTACCACTACCTGTGAATTCGATAGTGGTTCGATCATTTTTCAAGTTTAAAAAAAAAATAAAAGTAAAAGTGGACGAGGGTGGATTTTTTTTTCTTTTTTTATTTTAAAGAAAAAAATTATTATTATTATTACAAAACGGCAAAAATTATTTTGTAATTTACGAGGAGAAGAAGAAGAAGAGAGGAGAGGAGAGGAAAGGAAGTTTACGAGTGAGAAGGGGGGGGGGGAGCGAGCGAGTTTTTTTGGAAACATTTAAGTCCCGTAGGAAAAATGGAAGGCGAAAGAGAGAGAGAGAGAAAAAGAAAATTTTTTTTTTATTTTACACCCCAACGAAAAAAATCCGGGAAACGCCCGGTGGAAAAAAAAAAAAAAACTTTAAAAATTAATTTCTAATTACACGTCAAATAAAAAAAAAAATTTTTTTTTTTATTATTTTATTGTACCTTCGTGATTTTTTTAAAATTTAATAATAATAATAATAAAAGGATAAATGGAAAAACGTTGAAGATTTTCTCGAAATTTTCTTTTCTTATAAGAATTTTCCGATTAAAATTTTCAATAAGGAAAGTTAAAATAAAATTTAAATTTAAACAAATTTCTTCTAATAAATTTCGAAACCGAAAGGAAATGTATTCCAACCGACAATTTGGAAATAAAAATAAAATTTTCGGTCGGAAAACATAAGATGATAAAACAAACAACAAATAAAATAATAAAAAAAATCGTTAAATTTAAATTTTGTCGTAGTCGATTGTTTTCATTTTCATTCTTCCAGGGGGGGGGGAATTATTAATATATTTTAATCTTTGTTATTATTAAAAATTTTGGAATTTATTATTTCCAGACGATTTTCCAAAAAACAAACAAACAAACAAACAAACAACGACAATCGATTAAATAACAAAAAAAAAAACAAAAAAATTTTTAATTATTTTTAATTAACGTAATAATAATTTTTTCCGTAATGACTATTTTATTTTTTATTTTTTAAAAACAAACAAACAAACAAACAAAAACCGTGATTTCAATTTAAAAAAATAATTATTCCATTTTAAACGATCATGAAATTGTTTTTTTTTTTTTTCCTAAAATTTAATTGCAAAAATAATGTTTTTTTTTCTTTCGTGTTTGTTGTTGTGTTTGTACGCGTGTGCATGTGCGTGTGGGTGTACGCGTGTACGCGTGTCCGTGCATTTAAATTTTATTTAAATTAATATAAATTTTTTTTTTACAGAAATCCAACAAGAAATAAACAAACAAACAAATCACAAGAGGGAAGAAACAAACGATAATTTATTAAAAGGTGAGTAAAGAAATCTCACGTTTGTCATTACAAAAAAATTTCGATTTTTTCCATCTTTTTCTTTCTCATTACTAAATTCCAATTAAAACTTTACATCTCTCTCTCTCTCTCTTTTTCGAAATACAATTTAAAAAGTTTTTGGTTTCCTATTTTTCTCTCATTTATTTCGACCTATTTTATTAAAAAAAAAAAAAAAAAAAACTTTGTCAATAATTCTTTTGGTGTTGTTGTTGTCGTTGTTTAATCCATAACGGGGCAAAATCCCTAAAGATAAAATTAATAAAAAAAAAAAAAATTTTTTTTTTTTTTTTTTTTATTTTCAATATGGCGGTCAAGAGAATATTCAATATGAATTTTGTTTTTTTTTTTTTTTTTTTTTTTTTCTTAGATTCTTTCACATAATTCTCGGTTCTCCATTTATATACGTCGATGAATGTTAAATTGTCGCCTATCGTTTCCCTCCATCCATTAATATTATTATTATCATCATTATTATTAGTTTTTTTTTGCATTTTGGCCATGATCCATGCATGTATTTATTATTAAAAAAAAAAAAAAACTCCAGCAGCTTCGCAAAGGAAATTCCAAAATTATTTTGCAATTTTTTCATCGTTGTTGGTTGTTGTTGTTATTGTTGTCTCACTTCCTCGTATTATTTTGGCAATATGTCAATAAGTAACGCGAATTATTTAATCATCTTTCAATTTTTTTTTTTTTATTAATTATTTATAAGATGTTTCGGATCGTCCCTCAATCCGTTACGAACAAAAAAAAAAAACTCATAACCATTATGATGATATCTTCCGTTTTATTAATAATAATAATAATAATAATAATATTAAACGATTCATTTATCTTCCAGAAACGGGAGAAAAACATTGTGTGAAAAAAACATATTGTTTGTCTCGTACCTGGAATATTTTTTCCTCCTTTTTTTATTTTTCTTTGTTATGGTTTTGTGAGAAAATTTTAAATATAAAAAAAAAAAAATTTGTTCCAGATTTTGTGGAAAACTAGGTAAGTTTTTTTTTTTTGAATAATTTTTTTTGGAATTTAAATAATAATAATAATAATGATCCCTCCGGAACGAATTATGAAAAAAACGTGATACTGGAACACGTAATTTCTGGAAAATTTTTTTGTAAAATTTTGTCGTTACGATTTTTTTTTTCGTGTCACTTATCACAATGATAACATTTCAAATTATTTTATTTTATCAATAAAAAAATTTCAAGTTCAAAGGTCATCCTAATTATTATTCAGCAAATTTTTTTTTTAAGTAATTATTTATATAAAAAAAAAAAACTTTTGTCAATAGTAACAAATTTTACATAATGTCGATGTTTTGTTTAGTGTAAAAAAACTAAAACAAAATTACTTTTGTTATTATCATTATCATCATCATTATTATTATTATTACATATCTGTGACGTATAAATTGAAAAATTTTACTAAAAGGAAAATTAACTAAAAAAAAAAAGTGTTTGGGTGTTTTTTTTTGTTTTCTTAATAGATTTCCTTAAACGTTTTCAAAAAATTATCATTTATAAATTCTGGAACGAAAAGAAAATTTTCTGGAAAAAAATTTTCTTTTTTTCTTTTCTTTTGTGTTAATGGCTCATTGATTTTAACATTGAGAGTTCAATGACACATTTATAAATTAATATTTTTAACTTTTTTTTTTTAATATTAAGATAATAATAATAAATTATCACCAACAGCAGCAAATGTTATTCTCACTTTTTTTTTTAACCTTACAAAACGTAATTTAATATGTCGGACATTTTGAAATTTTTTTTTTAATGTAACATCAAAGTTTAAATTTACTTTTGTTGTTGTTGTTCAAGGTTAAAAACATTTCCCATCGATTTTTCTTTTTTCTTTTTTCTCAACTTAAATTTTATTATTTTTTATTTAATTTCAGAAGGAGGAAAAAATAATAATAATAATAATAACCAAAAAAAAAGGGAAAAATGTGAGCTGGTAAATAGAAAATTTTCCGGAAGTTATTTTTTTTATTAAAATTATAATTGAAACAAAATGGCGGAAGTTGGAGACATAATTGAAAATGTAACGACCGTATTAACATCTCGTTCACACGATAATAATAATAATAATATCGGACACGTTTTCAATAGGAGTCCACCCTATAGACATTTAAGCGTTACTGGACAAGTTATTGTGACAACGTCATACGCCATTGGTGTTATTGGAAATTTAACGGCTCTTTACATAATACACAAAGAAAAAAAATTAAAATATAAAAATAAAAAACATTCACTCATGTTAAAGTAAGTAACAATTTAACCCATCACCGTTTTCATTATTATTATTATTAATGTGTGTTTTTTTTTTTGGGGGGGCGGGTGTAGGTGTTTGATAGGTAACGATCTAGTCGCATTATTGGGAATGCTCGTACAAATGTACGTACAATTATATTTTCCAATTGAAATCTCAGGAAGTCATTTAAGTTGCGTTTTCCGGGTTATTTGGCGATGGTTCGGACTAAGTTCCGGTTGCGTTGCCATAGTTATGGCAATAGAACGTTGGCTGGCATTAACTCATCCATTTTTTTATCAAAAGGTAAATATTTTTCAAAAATTAATTTTCATCATCATACCCCCTCCTTCCCAAAGGTGGTAAAGCGAAAAAAAAAAAATCTCAGCCCAACCCATCCCCTTTTTTTCCTCTCCCTCGGGAATATTTTTTAATCCGCGGGATACTAAAAAAATAATTTATCAACACAACAACAACAAACATGAAAATAAACATATAAAAATTAATTAATATCATGTAATCATTCATTCATTCATTCAATCATTCGGTTGAATAACGAAAAATTATTATTATTATTATTATTTACTAACTATTCAATCAACGATCTTTTCACATGTTATTTGTTTTTTTTTTTCCTTCGAAAAGGAAAATTTAAATTTATTTATTTTAAACCTTTTCCCTTTTATTTTTGATTTTACCAAACAACCGATGAAACGTATTACAAACAAACAAACAAACGAACAAACAGAAAAATAAAGGAAAAAAAATTTCATTTCAAACTGAGGGGGAATCGTTTTTGTTTTCGTTATGATTTTTCTTAAGTGGTTAATAAAAAAAAAATTAAAAAATTTATTAAATTTTATTAAAGTCAATTAAATTTTAATTAATGACGTAAAAAATCTTTTAATTATTACACCCAAGTTCAATAAATAAATAAAAAAATAAAAAAAACGGGGTATTTATAAAACGGCCATTTTTTTTTTCAACGGACAATTTAATCAACCTTCGTTTTTTTTTTTTATTAAATCGATTTTTTTAAAACAAAATTATGCGTGTGCCAACAACATTTTTATATAATTTATTATTTTGTCGTCTGCTAAACAACTGCCTCAATATCACACACAAACGCACACGCACGCACACACACAATAATCATAATTTACGTGAAATTTTATCGTCGTCGTCGTCGTCTTTGACGAAATTTTTTTTTTGCCGTTGTCGTGTTTACAACAACACGAAAATAATGTTTTTCCGCATTATTATTATTATTATTATTATTATCATCATTTCCTTTTAGTCTTTGAAAGTTTTATTAATGGTTTTCCCGCGTAAATAAAACTTTTCCCCTCCCACTCTCCCCCTCATTCTTTTAAAGCGTATAATTTAATTCCAGATTTTTTTTTCTCCATTTAAAACAAACCTTTTCCATAACCTTTTCTCATTTAACACAACTTTGACTTTACTGACCTTAGAAAAACCTTTTTTCCTTTTTTCCTTTTACAAGGCGGGGCACTAAATCTAAATCAAAATGTTTTTACCTATAAATTTTTTTTTTATACCAGGTGAAATCATCATCAAATTACTTTCCCCCCCCTTTTAATTTTCCACAACATTTTCCAGTTTACGAACAATGAAAAAATAAAAACTGACGAAATAATAATAATAATAATAATAATTAAATTATCATTTTTTTAAAAAAGTAAATAAAAAAAAAATTTCCCGTTTCCTTTTAAGGTACGATAAATGATTGTTAATAAATAAATAAATAAATAAATTTTAGGTATTAATGGTTATCATTTAGGTATTTATATCCGTTATTATGACGTCAATAATAATAATTATTATTATTTTAATTAAACCATTTTAAATTTTATCACATAATTTTTTTTAAAGCGCGAAATGAATAATAAAGTGCTATTAAACAACCGGGAGATTGTTTTTGTTTGACAAATAACAAACAAACAAACAAACAACAACAAAAAGTTCTGTTTGTTTTTTTTTAGTACGAAGTTAACGGTTTTGCCACAACCTTTAACCTTTTCTCCCATCGCCCCGTTCAAATTTAAACAAAAAAAAAACAATTTTCAACGTTGGCAATATTGTGTTTTTTTTTACTATCGTAACACATAAATAATAATAATAATGCTGATGATAATAATGATAAAAATAATAAATTATTCATGATTATATGGAAAAGATTTTTTTTTTTTCTTTCCATTTTTAAATAAAATTTTTTTTTTTTACTTATTTATTTATTTCGTTTCCAAGACGTAATAATAATAATAATAATAATAATAATAATAAATAATTAATAAACGAAACATTAATAAAATAAATAGTAAGTTAATAATAATAATAATAATAAATTTTATTTTTTTTTATTTTCAGTTTTTAACGTTCGTCCGACATTGAAAAAAAAATTTTTTTTTTTTTTGGCATTTGACGTAACTTATTTTGTAATTTAAATGAAATGAGGGGGAGGAAGGGGGGAGAGAGGAAGGGAAAGAATGGTAAATGAATTGAATTAAGTGGGAGGTGACGAATCACAACGGTTACAAAAAAAATTTGAAATTAATTTAAAATTATCAAAACGATGACGATAAGATGAAAAACGTTTTAAACGTTACAAAATGTTTCTGTCAAAAATTTGAAAGGGTTGCTGAACGAGGAGTGAGGGAGGTGTTGGTAGATGGGGGAAGGTAAAAAGGCACTAATAAAAAAGAAAAGAAATCAATTTTGATAATCTATCCTTTGAAAAAAATGAAATAAGAAAAAAGGATTTGAAAGGTTTTCGTTTCGTGAAAGGGAAAGTACAATTGATTATCATCATCATCATTAACGAAAATAAAAACATTTTTCCGTTATTTTTATATAAAGGTCAAGGTCAACCCTTCCCCTCCAAACCTTTTATACGGAGATTAATGACCTTTTCAACATATACAAAAAAAAAAAAATGAAAAATTTTTTTTCCTTTCTTATGGATTTTTTTTTTTCCAGAAAATTCCAACGATGGAATTTATTTGACACCCACACGTAATCAACTACGTCAAAGTTTTTCTTTCCCTTTTTTTTTTTTGTTGAAAATTTACACCGCCTTTTATTTTTAGTTATAATAATAATAATAATAATACTTATAAAATTTTCCATTTTTTTTTAGAATGTCACTTACAATGGAATTCTTAAATCAATATTAATCCTTTGGTCAAGTGCTTTCATGTTGGTATCGATGCCATTTTTAGGATTTGGTCTTTATTTCGATAGAAAATCTAAATGTTGCATAAGATACAGATTGGCAACAAATCCGATCGATGTTGCTTACGCTTATGTTTTTTTCGCATACGGTAATATAAAAAAATCATATCGAATTAATTTCGATATATCGATCGATCGATTAATTGATTTTCTTCTTCTCATCCCAAGGGTTGCTTTTATGCTTTGGTATTTCATGCGCTAATCTATCAGTAACAAGATATTTATGTAATTCATCGAGGAGTCACAAAGAAGTATCAGGTCACAGGTTTAGCAGAACATTAAAACGTCAGCAATCATCATCATTAAGAGTTCAAAGCGTGAGTTCATCGACACCTGGAGAAATTGCTTTTGCAAGATTAATGGTTGCTTTAAGTTTTTCATTTCTTATCTGTTGGATGCCTCAACTGGTATTTTTCTCTTATCAAAATCCTCTCAAATTCAAATTTCCTTCCACTACATTCTAAAATATATATTTTCTTTTTTTCAGCTGAGCATTCCTTTGGCGCAATTTGCACCGAATAATTTAAAAAGTATTATTTTCTTCAGGGCTGCCGATATTCTCATGGCCATACATTTCATGCTCGATCCATACATATACGTATTACTTCATCATCATTTTCCATGCCTCAAAATAACATTCGAAGTCATACCTAGACATTGTTGTTGTTGTTCGAATCTCATTCGTGATAAAACATACGAAGAACATTCTGATAGATTTATTACATCCTCTCGTTAATTTAAATTAAAAAAAATTTAATTATATCAATGATAACATATATATAAAAATGATAATAAGATCATATAATAAATAATAATAAAAAAAAAATCAAAATGGCGTCTCATCGATTGCCCCTTTTCAATGTTTAATTAAATACCTCTCTCGGTCTTTTTTTTTAATTTTTTAAACAAATTTTAATTACTTTTACCGTTTTTTATTTTTAATCAATAAATTTACAGTTATTATATGTTTTCGTCCAGAATTAAAAACGAAATGAATGAAAAAAAAAAAAGAAAAAAGCTTCCTAGGTGATATTTTGTTTATTGTAAATTAATAACCGTTATCAAACTCGGATTGAAATAATAATAATAATAATAAATTTTATCACGTGTGAATTATTTAATAGATTGATGATTTATAATATATAATTTTTTTTTTAATTTTCGTAATGGAATTTAAAAAAAAAAAAGAAAAAAAAATTGCGAACAATGACCGTTAAATCGTTAAGGAGAACATCATCGTTGATGATTGCGTTTATAAATACGTTAAAAATCTAAATATAGATTATTAAGACGAAAATAAATTTTTTACATTTTTTTTAAAAGGTAAGCCACGTTTTTTTTTATTTTTCAATTTCAATTTATAATAATCAAATAATTCTTTTAAATATTTTTTTTTCTCATATTAATAATAATAATAATTTAAATGTACATTTAAAAAAAAAGAATTTATATATTTTTACACACACCTCGTTTAAAAAGTTTTTATTTCATTTTGAAAATTCTTTCATCCAAGACGATATTGAATTAATGTTAAATTTTTTCTTTGTTTTTGAACGTTTTAAGTAACCGTTTAAACGAATTCTCACAAAATTAATAATTATCATCTATTTAAAAATAATTAAAAACGTTTTTTTTCATAAAATTAATTATCACTCAATAAATTATTACCGGTTGTAATTGATGAAAAAAAAAAAAAATTTTTTTTCATTTATGAAATTGGCAGCACTGGTTTAACTGCCATGGTTGAATACATACGTTAATGAAAAGGTTATATAAGTAATGAAACAATAATAATAACTGGGAGAGAAAAGAAAAAAAAGAAACGAACACATTTTTTTTTATGTTTAACTTGAATTTAAAATATTTTAACTTTTTTTAATATTTGTACATACATAGTCTTTGTTTTTAAAACGTTTTTTTTTTCTTTTTAATTATGAAAATTTTCCTGTCTTAAGTTGTTGTTATTTACTTATTTATTAATACTTATTAGTTATATTTAGAAATATATATTGATATGGAAGAATCACAAACGAATATTAAGCCGGACGCGGTGGTTACAGAGAGTAAAGCAGATATCAAAACACAGTCAACAAATGAAAAAGTCAAATCAGAACCAGAAATACATGTTAATAAGAAAAATAAAGATGAAAAACATAAGAAAAAAGATGACAGGAGTGTAGAACAAGTTCTTAAAGCTTTGAGTAGTCTTGGAACTAGTGAAGAAAAACTAGCTGCCATTTGTAAAAAATATGCTGATATTGTCGATGAAAATAGAAAATTACAAATACAAATAAAACAAGGTGAAAAAAAAGCTTTGTCGATTCAAAGAGAAAAAGATCAATTACAAACTGAACACAGTAAAGCAATACTAACCAGGAGCAGACTTGAAAGTTTGTGTAGGGAATTGCAAAAACAAAATAAACAAATCAAAGAGGAAAGCTTGCAAAGAATAAGAGAAGAAGAAGAAAAGAGAAAAACAGTTTCGAATAAATTTCAAGCGACTCTAGGCGAAATAACTCATTTGATGCAACAAAACAATGAAAGCAATTCGAAATTAAGAGATGAAAATATTGAAATGCAAAATAAATTTAAAACAGTTTGCGAACAGTATGAATTGAGAGAGCAACAAGTTGAAAAAATGTCAAAACAAATGCAACTCGAATCCCAATTGGCAGAAGCTAAATTAATTAAACTTAAAATTGAAATGGTAGCAGAAAAGGAATTGTTGGAAAAGGAAAAGAAACAATTACTTGTAGAACTTGCTGCTTACCAACAAAAATGCAAAGAATTACAAAAAACTGAAGCAACATTAAACAGTCAAATAAATATGTACAATGAAAAATATGATAAATTTCAAGATGCTCTATCGAAAAACAATCAATTATACAGTGGATTCAAAGGAGAAATTAAAAATGTGAGTATAACCATAATAATAATAATAACCTTATTTTCGAAAAAAAAACTTTTAAATTAAATTCGACAAATTTTCTTTTTTTTTTTCTCCAGATGTCTAAAAAAATAGCCAAACTAGTTAAAGAAACATCAATATGGAAAATGAGATGGGAAAACAATCACAAAGCACTTTTACAAATGGGTGCTGAAAAACAACAATTAACAAAACAATTAAATCAACTTCAAAAACTTTGTAGAACTTTACAAGGAGACAGAACATGTTTGTTAAATCAATTAAAAACCGAAGGAATCGAACCTAAACTTCCAGGTATTCATTCATTCATTCATTCATTCATTCATTCATACCCATTCCCAACTTTAATATAAATACTTTTTAACTACATCCGGTTTTTTCAGATCGTAGTTCCGCCGAACCTACACCGCCAGAACCCGAACCGGAAGAACCCATTGCCCAACCGGAAATTATCGATGATATGCCAAAGGAATCTGATATTTCAATCGAAAACGGATTAGAAGAAGATATAGAAAATCTAAAATTGAGTTTTTCATCTGGTAAACCCGAAGATGACGACAACGACGATGACGTCATCGAAAGGGAAACAAATGATAATGATGATGGTAATGATTGCGTTGCGGAAAGCGATAATACAATTGAAAAAATTGAAGAATTTGAATTGTTAAAAAATCAAAATGAAAAAAAAACCGTTGTAAACAACAACAACAACAATAATAATAATAATACTAATAATAATAGTAATAGTAATAGTAGTAAAAAACATAAAAAAGAAAAATCTAAAAAAGGAAAAAATTGTTAAACGGGAGAGGTTTATTTTTAAATATACGGAATCACGCGAATTACCCCCCCCCATCCTTTCCCCCTGCTCTTCCGAATTTTAAGGAAAACAATACAATAATAATAACAATTAAAAAATACGCGTTTTAATAAAAAAAATTATTATTATTTAAAAAAAAAAAAAAAATTGTATTCCCGTCATTGTTTCATACATAAACGAACGAGGCGGCCTTTTTTTCATTTGCCTTTTCGAAATGACGTGTAAATTAATAATAATAAAAAAAAATCAAATAAGTGACACCATCTTTCTTTTTACTCATCGATAAATCAATAAAATCAATTTATAAAAAAACAAAAATCGATATCCATACATCCGTATTGAAAAAAAAAAAAATTTCTTTCTTTTTCTTATATCTCAAAACTGACCGACCGACATGTTTTTTTATTTATTCATTTTACTACGTGTAAAAAAAATATATTTTACAGTATTTTTTTAAAAACTATTTATTATTTATTATTATTATTATTATTATTATTATTATTATTTATTCGTTTTTTTTTGTAAACGACCGTTAGTAATAAATAAATAAATTAAATACACAATTTAATATGTTTTTATTATTTTTATTATTATTATAATTATTGATTTACAAAAAATATTTTTTTTTTTTTATTTTTCACATTATCGTAAAAAAAAACCTAAAACGAAAAAAAGGAAAAGAAAAAAGAAAAAAAATGGAATAAAACGTTTTTGTTTGTTTGTTTGTTTGTTACTGTTGTTGTTGTAGTTGGAATTGGATAATTAAAAAAAAAAAACGAAACAAACGCATAAGCGTTTGTCTCCTTCCTTCCTTCCTTTGACAAAACCTATTTCTGAAAACATTTTGTCCTCCTTTCGATGATGGGCGGGAGGGGGATGAGTGGGGGGCGGGGGAAACAAACAAAAAAAAATCTATCGTGAACGTGCGTTAGTGCGTCAACAAACAAAAAAAAAAAAGGAAGGGAAAAAAAGGCAGTTTGTGGCAATCGTCGCATTTTTACGTGTTTTCAAATCCGTTCACATCCATCCATCTAAAAAAAAATTTAAAAATTTTCCATTTTCCGGTGACGATGATGATGATGATTGAAAATAATAATAATAATTTACGGGCGCGAATAAAATTTAAAAAAAAAATAAAAAATTTTTCGCAACTTTTTCGTCTTACCTCATCATCATCTCCATATGAAAATCATATCCATCTAATTAAATTTACATTTGGAAAAATCCATTTCCGGATGATGTTCCATAAACCTGAAGAAAAAAAAGAAAAATTTAAAAAAATTAAATCCGATTCAACGTGGAGGGTCCTCCACCCTCTCTCCCCTCCCCTTCCCCGCCGTCTAGTACAAAACTTACTTTTTTATAACTTCTTGTTTTTTAGCTTCGTCCGATGTTGGCAACCCTAGTTCTCGTTGCCTTTGATCATACATCATTTTCTCGACGACGCCTCTCATGTCGTCTTCCAAATCCGATAATTTCGACGGTTCCGGTTTTATTTTTCTCGTCGATATTTCTGGATCGGTCACCACCAAACGTCCCCACCATTCCATTTTATTCACCTTGACAAAAAAAAAAATGAATGCCAAAATAATAATAATAATAATAAAACTCTTTTTTGTTTGTCCCTCCCTTCCTCCCTCTTTCTCCCTCTCTCTCCCCTCACTTCCCCGTGCGTGTGCACAAAACATTTTCCCAGACGACAAACAACGACAACAATCATACGATGAGGTATATACCTGAACCTTAAATCCAATTCTCACTTGATCATTCTATTCTCTTCTATTACATAATACTAAACATTTTTCTAATTAAAATAAATAAAAAATGGCTGCTTTTTAAAAAAAAACGATTAACATCAATAAAATTCCCATGAGAGTTAATTACTATTTCGATTTTAATAAATTATTTATAATAGCAGACGATTTTATTTGTTTATTAAAAAAAAAAAAAAAAAAAAAAATTTAATGGTTTCGATAAGCGATCAAAAGTCGCCAGGCGCGCGTGTGCGTGTGTATGTGTTTCCCATAACATTTCTTGTCAATTTTTCCATCTCTCTCTCTCTCTCTTTAAATATTTTTCCAGTGATTCTCCAGATCAACCTTTTGGAATTATGTAATTCGATCGATTCATAATTATAAACATGAACATTAATTAAAGTAATTTATTTATTTATTTTTTTCCCATCACTTCTCTTCACGAAACAAAAAATTTTTTTTCCTATTTTTCTCCTGGTGACGGGAACTCTACCGACTTCTTCTCCTCCTCCTTCTTCTTCATTTTGTCCTTTTTCTCCTCTTCTTTCCATCCCGGAAGTAATACTTATAACGACGAAAAAAAAAAAAAATATAAACGCATATTTTTAATCGGATTTATATATAGATTTATCGATCGCAAAGTACTTAAATAGAAAATCCAATGTTGTTAAAACCAATGTCGATATGTTCAAATTCTTCTTTTTCTACGGAAATCTTGCTCAATTTAACCCTCATCATCATCATCATTATCATCATCATCATCATCATCATCATCATTATTATTATTATTATTATCATTTTCTTAAGGTCTTTAAGGATTTTCTCTTCTCGGGTCATCGATTTATCGGATTAACGAAATTTTTTCTTTTTTTTTTCTCTTCACCTTAATTTCCTCACTTTTTTTCTTTTCCTTTTTCTATTCCTGCTACGTCCCCGCCTCTCCTGGATCCCCCCCTCCTCTCATCTCATTCCCCCTCCCCTCTTTTCTCTCTTTTCAACACGCGTTTTTTTTGGTGACAACTTTTTTCCAACAGTTCATTCACTTCTTTCCTCCTTTCTCTCTTTCCTTCCTCCAAAAACAACAAAAAACCTTCTTTTCAATTTTTTTCAATTAATCATTTCAATGATGATGATGATGATGATGGAGAGGTTTCCGTCAAACGATCATCATCATCATCATCATCATGATTTAAAAACGTTATTTTTGCCACGCAATCAATTTTCAGGGTTTTTTTCTTTCGACTAATTTTGTTTTTTTCTCGTATATTATCGTGGCACGAGCGTATATGCGAGAAAAAAAAAACCAATAGAAATTATCATTAGTAAATTAATATTATTATTATTATTATCATTATTAACAACTTATCCGCGTCCACGGCATCCGCATTATTTTTGCCTGAATTTCATTATTATTATTATTTCGTTCGTTCATTCGTTTGTCCTTCCTTGAGAATGACTCGTAAAAAAAAAATTCTATCGAGACTGAATAAGCAAAAATTTCGTTGAACGGCTAACGAACGTATTCGACGGGTTGTAAAAAACACGTTCGCGTAAATATTTTAAACCCCTCCCCCACCTCCCCCCGTTATCATTGAATTATATATTTAGTCAGAGTTAAAGAATTTTCTCACCTCTCTCTCTCTCTCATTCTTTCCCAATCTAATTTTGTCATCGATGAATCTCGTTTTTTTTTTTTTTTTTTTGTATCGTAATTATTTCCTTCCGGAAAATTTTTTTACCTTTTCCAAATTGATGACGAGATTTCTAGAATCTTCCAAAACCCACGTGCTTTCCTCCATTTTAACTTCGTTGTAAAGTTCTCCATCGATTATCGGCGTGTGACCCCTGAGACCTACTTTCAAGTATTTTTTCTGAATTTGAATGTCGAGGTCGCGAGATCTGACGTTGAAGTTCACTTTGAGGGGAACGCGAAGCTGAAAATAAATAAATAATATTAATAATAATAATGATGATTGTAACGATAAATAAGAAGAATAAATTATATAAATGAATGATGATGATGATGATGATTGAATCACACTTTAAAAATTATTATTTAATCGTTAACGAGTGATCTTATGTGAAATAATGACGAACGCGAACACGTGGGTTTTTCCACGTTCGTCCGTTTGTTTGAATGCCACAAAAGTCACATTGCAAAAAAAATAGAGAGAGACAGAGAGACAGAGAGAGAGAGAAAGAGAGAGAGAGAGAAAGAGAGAGAGAGAGGGAAAAAAATGTCAATGAGTTATTAAATTATTATTAAATAAATAAATAATTTCATATTTTAATATTTATTTTAGGTTATTTTCATCATCACCATCATCATCATCACCGATTGAACTTTGTTTGATTTTTTTTTTTCCTCTTTAATTAATAAATAGTAATAATAATAATTATAATTAGAGCGAATGTAATGTCACACAATATATTAATTATTTAATCTCTACTTTAACCGAGATTAAAGTCGTGCGTGCGTGCGTGTGTGTGTGTGCGTGTGCGTGAGTGCGTAGCCGTGTTGTAAATTTTATAAAATCCGGCTCAAGCCGACGTGTTTGTTCAAGTTTAAGAAAAATCGAGTAAACAAATCCAGCAAAGGATTTTTAATTATTAAAAACCGCTTTTGCATATTAGCTTTCCTTTTTCTATTATTATTTATAATAATATCCTAATATGATTAAAAGGAAAGGAAAGGAAAAACCCCGGTGGGCGAACGACAATTAAAAAATAAAATAAATAAATTTTCCAACTTGACTTTTTTGGAATTTTTTATTAAACAAAAACGCACGTGCGAAAAACCAAAACACTCAAAACATAACGAAACAAAAAACAATGCAAACATTACAAGAAAAAAAAAACAAAACATGACGTCATATTTAACTTTGTATATTCTTCTTCTTTTTTTTCCTTTTTCTTTTCGGTTCGATATATATATTTATATTATAATAAAAAAAAAATGTCTTCTAGGCATAAAAAAAAAAAAATTGATTCGTTCTAAGAAAGAAAAAAAAATTAAATAATAATGATAATAATAATGGAGTAAATAATACATTATAACGAATGAAAAACAATAATAATAAACGATCGATCGATCGAACGATTTTCCCCGCATTTTCCTCGCCAGTAACGTATCACGTTAAACAAAAAAAAAAAAAAAAACAAGAAACGAACAAACTTATGTGATACGTCGAAGGTAGTTTTTGTTTGTTTGCTTGTTTGTTTGTTTGTTTTCTATTTTGAAAGAATGTTTTTCTAGCAAAAAAAAATTTTTTTTCAGTTTAATTTAATTTTGTTTTCCTCATTAATTACCATAACCGACGCCCAAATACGTAAAAAAAAAAAAAAAAATTTTAATTGATTTTAATGATTTAGTAAATTTAATTAATATCATTTACAACGAACAAACAACAACCACGAATGAATGCCACTGGTTTAGGTTTAATTTAACCTTTTGACATAAAGACGTAGCGAGGAGGTAACGGAAAATCTTACGAATCAGGTGTCACGTCATGTCCCTCCAACAAAAAAATTAAAACCTACAAAACCGAACCTTCCAACAACCACTTTCCCCCTTCTCTCCCCTTTTTTTTCTCTCTCCATAAAAAAACGATATACATAAGAACGTAAGAACGAAAAAAACCTTGAATAAACGAGGTAAAAAAAAAAGCAAGCGAACTGGCCGACGCCTTGAAAAAAAAAAAAAAAAAAAAAAAAATAATAATAATAATAATAATAATAAACGAGATGTTATGAGAGTGAGAAAAATTGATCACGAAAAAATCCAATGTCAAGAACTGGTCGCCTTTTTCAAAAGAATTTCCGTTTCAAATAAGACAAAATAAAACTAAAACGAGTACGTAACAAAAATCGTGACGTAGACAATTTAATTCCCGACTCCAGGTAAATTCCAGAATAAAAGGAATGACTTTACTCAGAGGTGATGCTTTTTTTTTGCTAGAACTTTCCAATTGGAAAATTTCAAAATTTTCATTTTATCAACGAGTGACAACGTATCTCAACAAAATAGTAGCACACTCAAAAAAAAAAAAATTTTCCTTTCCTTTCCTTTTTCCATTTTCCTTCCACGTTTCGAACACACGACGTTTAAATCAAAAACCTTGAACATGATAAATTTTCAACGCAATGAAAAAAAAAAAAAAAACTTAATTAATCGATATTTTTAGAATTAAATATGTGTGTGTGTGTTTATATATAAAAAATTGAAACCTTACATCACCCTCGGAACATCGTAACCTTGGACCAAATGATGCGAGAGAGAGAGACAGAGAGAGACGAATCACTCAATCTCCAAACAAACAATTCGCAGTAGTAGTAGTAGTAGTAGTACGAGTGTAGTAACCTCCCCAAGGTTGTAATGTATGAAAATGTCTCTCTCTCTCTCAAAACAACAACAACAACAGTCAGTCAATACACCGTCAAGTGTGATGATGATGACGATGATCACGATGACGTAGTAAAAAATGACGTAAACCACCGATCGACGACGACAACAAAAACTTTGGGGAATCTCCCACATTATTTTTAATTACCCAACATTTAAATATATAAAAATCATCATCATCATTATTACGAATGAATGCATGCGTTTTCCCGAGTACAAACGAATCGGAAAAACGTTTTTAAAAAAAGTAAAGTACTCGCGAACGACCTTTGACTCGAATCGAACCTTAAAACTTGGAATTTCCAAGTCGTTCTCCAACCTGCCGCCATTATAAATAAACAAATTGACATTCATTCTTTCATTTATTTTAAGCATTACGACGACAAATTCTCGTCGTTTTTAAAGCTCTATTTGTAAAACAACAACAAACAACAACCACAACAACAACCGGCTGACTTATTTATCGGTTTAAAAAATTTTTTTTTTTTTTTATTTTAAATTTTCATTTAAATAAATTTGCATAACGTGAAATTTTTTTTTTTTTTCTAACGAAACTCACTTATATGGACGTGTATGTGTGAGGGTCATCGAATTCCACGCCCAACCTGTTATTAATACCTAAAATAACGAGGAGGGGCTAAAATAAGAGGCGACGACCAAATAAATAAATAAATCCACTTGATGATGCCTTTTTTTTCTTTTTAGCCCGAAGGATAACAAAAAAAAAAAAACGAAGCCGTGGTCGTTCTTGATCTTCTTCTTCTTCGAACGTTCGAATCGAATGAGATCACACTAATAAACAACAGGTACTCGGATAATAATAATAATAATAATAATAATAATAATAATAATAATAATAATACGAGATGATGATGATGATGATGATGTTAATGACGGTCGTAAATGAACCGGGGTTACAAATCTTACATTTTTTTTTTTTTTGATATTCGCACATCACGTTTTTAACGTCCTAAAGGGATCGAGTAGGCAACGTCCATCCCATTTAAAATTTTTGGAATCGAACCAAATTTTTTTTTTTTTGAGCTCATCCACAGGATTTACTACTCAATTCCCTCGGGATATAATTTATAAAAAAAAAAAATCATTATTTCGTGCAAAGAGGAAACTGGTATTTGTTGTTGTTGTTTTACTATATTATTCACCGACCGAAAGGAAGAGAAGCGAGGGGCGGGGAAAAACGTGCTTGAAATCAAAGAGAAAAATTAAAAACATTATTATTATTATTATTATTATTATTAATTTCGTTTTCTTCGCCACGATGCGAGAGAGAGAGAGAGAGAGAGAGAGAGAGAGAGAGAGAGAGAAACGAATAATAATTATAAGGTTTTTTTTTTCTAAAGATACGACAATTTACGTTACAACTTGTAATTAATTATTATCCCATTAAATTAAACAAAAAAAAAATTAATAAATATAAATAAATAAATAAATAAATAATTAAATGAAACAAACGCTCGTGATGAATATCATTACCGGAGAGAAAAAATCAAGGGCAATATGAAATTCAATGCTAAACGTTGCGAAAATAAAAAAAAAAAAAAAAAAAAACGTTCATTTTGACACCGATACTCGATTCATTTTCCTCCTCCTTCTACCCTCTCTCCCCTCCTGCGTATGACGTGTGGAAATCAATCAAATCAAGTGCAAAATAGTAAAAAAAAAAACCCATTTAAACGAGTACTCTTTCAACGGGTGGCAGGTAGGTGTGTTTTATGAATTTTTCTTTAATTTCCTCTTTCCGGAAATTAAGATAAAAACTTTAAAAATAACTTGAGCGCGTTTTTTTAAAAAAAAAAAAACCAAGTAAAAATTTAAACGCCCACGTGATCGAAAATAATAATGATATATAAAAAATTGAAAAAGACATTTTTCATTACATTACTCATATAAAAAATAAAATAAAATAACTTTTACGACGAGTACACCGCGTGAAAGAACAACATAAAACTTTTATGACCCCCCTCCTCCTACTCCTCCTTCTCCCCAACATTTGGTTTATCAATAATCGGGTAATAAAAATAAAAAAAAATAAAAATGAAAAAAAAAAACCGCGCGTTTTAACCTAAAAAATTAAATAAATAAATTTTCGTTTGATTTAAAACGATCTTGCATCTTCCGATAAATTAATTTAAATCGTAAAAAAAAAAAACTGCTACTGGTACTACCACTAATAATAGTTGTAGTAGTAGTAGTAGTAGTCCTACTACTACCACTACTACTTGTATTGCAACAAATACTGGTCTGTATAACCTGCTCATTATTACCAAAACTCACAGAGCACAAAATGCAGAGAGCGAGAGAGAGATCAAAGACTCCAGCATCCCTTTTATTATCATTATCGCAATCGACCCACTTTGCTCGCGTTCGAATCCAAGAAAAACGAACTCGAGACAAAAATTTTTTTTTTTTTGTATAATTTATTTTGCACACGTTCGCTAAGAATTAACGAATGAACGCAACACGTGAGATCGTTTTTTACGTGCGTGCGTGCGTGCGTGTATGCATGTGTGA